AAGCCGTGTTTCGGGGACCCGAGGTCGCCGAAGCTCTGGCACTACCGGTCCGATGAAGTCACGAAGGAGATCGGGTTCAGGAACCACTGGCTCGAGGACTGCCTCTTGCTGTCCTTGCGCCCGGCGAAGGTCGAGGACGACCCGTTCGACGTGTGCAGCTTCGAGGACCAGACCTACGTGGTGGACGGCCTGATCGGCAAGCACGTGGACGACTTCATCGGATGCGGCGAGGGAGTCAACTGTGAGGACGACTTGCACACCGTGCTGGACAACTCGGAGTGCTTCCAAGCGAGATTGGGCGCGCTCAACCAGAAGTTCACGTTCGGCAAGTGGGACTTCGGGCCGAGCCTGATCTTCACTGGTGGCGAGGTGGAGCAGTCTCTCAGCACCTACGCGGTGACCCTGAAGTTCGAGAAGTACCTGCACGCGGTGAAGCCCATCACCATCGAGAAGCACCGCCGGGCGGACCCGACGAGCGCGCTGACGCCGAGGGAGCTCACCAGTTTCAGGACCCTGAACGGTCAGCTGCAGTGGCCCGCGGCCCAAGGAGTGATGATAGCCGCAGCAACTGTTTCTTTCAGGGCAGCGGCCACGGGAAATGCTACGGTGCAGGACCTCCTAGACGCGAACAAGGATCTGCGCTTTCTGAAGGCCAACGCGGACGTGGGACTCTACTTCGGGTTCGACAAGGCCTGGAGCGAGCTGCGCGTGGGAGGCTACTCCGACGCGAGTTGGGCCAGCCGCCTGGACGGGAGCTCGCAGGGTGGCTATACGATCTTCGTTGGACCCGACGACGACCTGCGAAACGGCAATCCGACACCGTTCGTGGGGGTGGAGTGGGCCTCGAAGAAGCTCGTGCGGCTGTGCAGGAGCTCGCTGTCCGCGGAGGCGCAGGCAGCTGCGCTAGGCGTGGATTCGTTGATGTGGGTGAAGATCTACCTGACGCTGAGCTTGCGGCCAGACTTCAAGCCAGACCAAGCGATGCTGTACCTCGGAGAGTCGCCGTTCATCACGGACGCGAAGTGTCTCTACGACGCCTCAAGGTCAGCCACAGCAGGCCTGGGCATCACGGAGAAGCGGACAGCCATCGAGGTGAAGATTGTGAACGAACAGATGGAAGAGATCGGCGCAGTGTGGAAGTGGGTGAACACCCAGCAGCAGATGGCGGACGGGTTGACGAAGCTCTCCGCACGCCAGCAGATGGCGGACGTGCTGCGCCGTGGAGTTCACGCTCTACGGTACGACCCGAATTTCGTGGCCGGGTAGAAGCTGACCAAGCGCGCGATGGAGCAGCGCGAGAAGGAGCTGGACCAGGCTGGAGATGACCTGGCGGACGAGTTCGAGGCAAAGCCAAAGGAGAAGCCCAAGCAGAGGAAGCGCCATTTTGGCGCGAGTGGTGCGAGGTTGGCGGCAACCTTGGCAGCGAGCGGAGCATCGAGTGCAGCCGGAGAGTTGATGAAGTACACGCCCAGCGGCGTTGAGCTGTTCAACACACCGGCGCCCGACGACTGGAGCGACCTGATCACGAAGCTGCTCATGCTAGGCATCGTGACATGCCTCATCCTGGCGTTCGGCTGTGGGTTCTGCGCAGGGGTGTGGTGGATGCACCTGACGAGCAAGACGACGAGCGCAGACTACAAGACGCTGGAGCTGGAGACGGGACGGGTCCCGACCAGATCGACGACGGCGGAGACCGCCACGACAGGCACGAGCACGAAGCCGATCAAGCAGAAGAAGACGCGCGACATGTGCTGCCAGGCTCCGACACGCTACAATCTAGACCTGGCACAGCCGAGGTTCCAGCCGTTGCCGGAGTACGCCCACGGGGCATTCTTCAGCTGATCGTTACGACGAAGGGGACCCACGCCTATGGCGACGTGGCGGCGATGCCGCACTTGCTGAGGTGCTTCGAGAAGCACGACTTGCTGAGCGCCGTCGGAGGCGCGGACTTGTTTGCCAGGCGAGGTCGACCGATCGCCTGGCTGCCGAAAATAATTAAGGGGATATATGTCGCTGTCGCGACCGCCGGTGGTTTCACAGTCTTGTCGGACAAGGTTTGTGTCCTGGGACCTGCGGTGTCAGGGATGTTTGTCTGTTTTAGCTTCGGTCCTGTTCCCGATCGTTTTGCGAGTTTTGAGTTGAGTTTCGTTTCCTGGTAAAGTTCCGGGGAGCCCTGTTCTAGGCGATGATTGGTTTATAGCAAATCTGTGCTAACTCCTTTTTCCGCCCGTGTCGTTATCACCTCTGTTCTACCGAATTTGCGTAGTGTTTATTCTTGCCAGTGTGTATGCAGTTTAGCACAGACGTGATGTATTGTTTGCAGCGTTGCTGTTCGATTGCCATGTACCATCGCCGTTTGATGTTCAGGGGCCCCTGAGTCATGTAAAAGGTTGCGTTTCGTTTCATACGGCCGATAATCAAGATTATCAATTCTTTACGAACAATCCCGAGTAGACTTCGTGTGCTACCATCGGTTGATAACCCCTACCCCCCACGATTTCTGAGGGGGAGGGTGGGGTTCAATCCGTTCGGGAGCTCCCAAGCGAAGTGAACCCCACCCTCCTCCTCAGAATCGTGGGGGGTAGGGGTAGGGTTCACATGTGGCCCCCGAGAACGTCCTGGGCAGTGCTGGAGCGTCGGCAAGCGGAACGAGCAAAACAGCGGGGAAATGCTGGAGAACCTCCTGCTCCAACGACTGGCGGCGACAATCGCGTTCGCGGAAGGCTCTCCGGGAACCTGATAAAAAGGGGGCCCTTGTAAAGGCCTGTGCGAGGCCCTTTCGGGATGTCGAGGCTCATTTGGGAGGCCTTTTGGGGTTCCTTGGCCGCGCGCAGTACCTCTGGGATGCCCAGGCTCGTAGTGGCGTCCTCCTGTGGTGTGTTGGGGCTCTCTCGTGGACGCCTCTTGTGCCGACTCCGAGCGTCGTGGAGCGGACCACGCGACCACGCGAAAATCCTTGACAACAAGTGGAACATTTGTGAGTCTTGCCTATCGGAGCTCTCTCGGAGAGCAGTTCGGAGCCCTCCCGGGGCGTCCCGGACGCCCCGCGGGCAGCCCCGAAGCAACGGAGCGGTGGGGTGCGGGCTGGGCCGCTTGGGGGCCTTGTGGGCCTCCTTCCGGGCCTCTTGGCATGTCCAAGCCCATCCGTCGGGGGGCCGCCCTTGGGTGCCTCTTGGGTCATCTTGGGCGCCTGTGGGGCCGTTTGGGCGCCCTCTTGGGACGTGTTGAGGCTATCGTGGACGCCTCTTGTGCCCTCTCGGAGCGTCGGGAAGCGGAGCAGGCGACCTCGCGAAAATCCTTGAAAAATCAGCAGGGGGATCCATGCTTGTCGCCCATCGGGGCTCTCTCGGAGAGAAAATCGGGGCCCTCTTGGGCCGTCTTGGATGCCTCGCGGGCCGCATCGAAGCAATGGCGGGCGTGCTGGGGCCGTTTGGGGGCCCTCTGGGCCTCATTTAGGACCTTTCTGTCGGGGATGAACAGAACCTTCTGTAGCAAAACGTAGTTTAGTGAAAAAGACCTCGGGCCCAAACCTGGCGAGCGCAAGCCTGGAAAATGACGGCCGCGGCGCCCTTTCGAGAAGCGAAAACGGACACTTCACTAATCGACGTGCCAGGGAGGGGGCTCTGTCCACCCCCGATCCTTCGGGACCTTTGTGGCGTGTCCAGGCTCATGGGCGATCTTGGGCGCTCTCTTGGGCCGCCTTGGCGCCCTCTTGGGGTATGTTGGAGCCCTTCGTGTGCCGTGTCTGGGCGTCGAGCAGCGGAGCAGGCGACCACACGAAAATCCTTGAAACACCCAAGGTCAATCGCTGATGTTCGCCCCTTGGGCCTCTAGCGGAGAGCAGTTTGAAGCTCTCTCGGGGTGTCTTGGAGGCCACGTGGGCCGTCTCGAAGCCATGGTGGGCGTGCTAGGGGCGTTTTGGTGGCCTCAGGGCCCCCTCGAGAGCCCTTTTGGCGAGTCGAGGCTCATCTGGCCCCCCCCATGCGGCACTGAGGCACCAGTCCGGGTCCATACATACATACATACATACATACATACATACATACATACATGCATGCATGCATGCATGCATGCATGCATGCATGCATGCATACATACATACATACATACATACATACATACATACATACATACATACATACACACATACAGACAGACAGACAGGCAGACCGACAGACATGCATCCATCCATTCGTCCATCCGTCCATCCATCCATCCATAGAGAGAGAGGGGTACATCTGTACATATGCCTTTGCACACATACATTCATGAACAACTAAGCACTCATACAACGATATACATATATAGGTGTATATGCATACATTGTTTATGCAATACATGGAATAATATGCATTCATACCACGATATATATATAAATTTATATATATATATATCAAGACGAAGGCACATACACATAGGGAGAGAGAGAGAGAGACAGAGAAATAAAACAAGATAACGAGAGGGAAATAGAGAGAGAACCACAACGAGTGAGGAGGGAAAGAGAGAAAGAGAGAGAGAGAGAGCGAGAGAGCGAACGACAGAGCGGGTGTCACGCCAAACTGCAATCTGACCAACGGGAACACATGTACAACCAATCGCTGCTACTTGCTGTTTGCACTGTCGACTAGATCGTGCACCTGCAACTCCTCCTCGCATGTCCACGCCTGCTCGTCAATCCTCATCCCACTTATTTTCAATCGAATTCTTCTCCTCGTCCTCCTCTTCCACCCACTTTCCATGACCTCCGTCCCTCCTCCACCCCGTCGGGGATCTTCTGACCCAGTTCAATCCAGAACCAGGTCAGTCGGGCCTTGCAGGAGCCTGCAAGATCCTGCAAGATCCTGCAGGATCCTGCACGCAAGCCTGGGTCGGTACGACCCTGGCACTCCAGGAACCTGCAAGCAACGGCGCTCTGACTGACCCCCGTTTGTATTGACCCCCGTCTCTTGAGCCCCGACCCCGCTTACACTGACCCTGTCCGTCAACCAAGCAGCTCGAGCCTGAAAGGCGGACACGTCCATGCGGTCACTGCAGTCCTCGCCCCAAGGAGGAACACAAATTAGAACGATACCAACATGCTTGTCATGGGCATCGGCATCGTCTTCTCATTTCGCCATCCGTAGAAGAAGAAAAGACGCCGTAAACGATAACTTTTGGCGCTCCCCGCGGATTTCCAGGATCTGCGCTGGGCCCCCCGGCGGCGCCTCCGGCGCCGCCCCTTGCGCGCTCCGCGCGCCAGGGAGGGGGGTCCACGCAGATCCAAAAATTCCGCGCGGAGCGCCAACAGTTTATGTTTTTTTTGAAAGGCAGGGAACTCGCAAGGCACCACATCTCTCCAGTCCGAATGCCTGTCGCACGCAGCCCCACACAGCCTGCCAGTGCCCGACGTAAAACCCTGGACTCGCACAGCGAGGAAAATGCATGTGTGGCGGAACCGGTGCATCGGTGCAAGACAATTTGCGCGAGGAGGGAACTAGG